GCTGCTTAGTAAGCTGTAAAATGCCAGATTCACCCGCTGTTAACTACATGTTGTACAAAATTTTGCATTCTTTTGGTCCAGTATCTTTCTACCTCCAACAGAGGGATTCTGGAAAATTTATTACACTAATGGGAGCCAGATGTTTCATTCATCAAAAAATATGCAAATTATTTAAAAATAAATAATACAGTCTTATGAGCAAACTTCTACAGGCTTTTGGGGCAGAGAGTGGTTCCTGCAATGTACAGATGGTACAAAAAACTATGGCTTATTTTTTTCTAAATCTTGGTGTGAATGAAAAGAAATAACCACATGATGGCAGCAGAATACAAGACATGAGGAAGGATCTGGTACAACTTTCATGACCAAATATGTGAATTTGGAGGAGTGTTGCCTTCAAATGTCATTTAAGGAGCAGCACCAAGAACAAAGCCACAACCACGAATGGATAATTGAGAAAGTTTGATGTAGTAGTTCACAAAGGACATTGCTGTATGCCATTAAGGACAAACAGATCTGAGAAGCAGAGTATCTGCAAGTAGAATACAGCACCTCTTAAGCAACTCCATATGAAACCCATATGAAGGAATAAGCTAGTAAACCAAATGCTCTTCAGCACTGAATGAAATCAGAGCTACACTTGTTTAATCTCATCTCATCATTGGCTAATCAAATTACACACATCACATTATGTATTATTACATAACTAGGATTACTTCAGTTACTAGCATACATACGAAGAAAATAGTACTGAAGAAGACAAATATTCAATAAAGAGATAGAGAAACCCTCATAGTTTTGAGCTGTTCTTTATGGACACATGGGAACAAACATCTCATTCCATCATTGCTTGCTATTATCTCTTTTCCTCCTTTGTCTCTGCTTAGTATGCTTAACTTTACTCCTCATTTAGCTCTCCCTGTTATATTACTTCTGGAGCCTTAGGCAGCGTGTTTAATTGCTACAGCCTATCACTCAATCAGGCCTATTCTTCTAGATAGTATCTTAATCTTGTCACCATATATGTTACTCTCAAAAAAAAAAAAAAAAAAAAATTTTTTTAAAAGTCAATTTGCCATCAGACATTTGGATGTTACAAAATTGTTTTGTAAGATTAGTGTAAGTTCAGTGAGATTTGAGGCATATGAAGTAGTTCCTCATGTTCTCGTTGCCACTTGTCCTCTACCTTATGCCCTCTACACCACCTGCACCTCTAGCTGATTCAATCTTTTCAAGACTGAGAGCTCTCTCCCAGAAAGTTAACAGTAGAGGAGGCTATCAGCTATAACAAAATGTGGGGCTTTCCTTCCTTCCCCCTTCAATCTTAGATTTGAGTAATCTCATTTGGTATCACCTGCCACTGTGAATCACAACACTGCTCACTTGCATATGCCTTCAGGTGATGCACAAGTGCCAAATTGCCAGTTGCCTTGAATTCACAAGACAGCTTTAGGACAGAGCAATTAAAAACCATCAGGAGAGTATTTTTTACACGATGTGCAAGCAAAGTGTCAAACTCTCTCCTAGGGCACAAATGGGTAAGCACCATTTTTTTTCCTCTCAAACACAGCTTGTTTTCTTGAACAGGCTCATACAATTTATAGATCCCAACTACCTCAACAGCTTTGAGAATAAAGTTGGCTTAACCTCTTCTCCCTTATCAATATGTATTCTAAAGGTTGCCTTTGAAAGTTGTTTGTGATTGAGGAGCACTGGTTAAAATAAGAGATACGGCAGTTTAAAAAGCAATTATTGGCAGGATTCCCATACAGAATATCTATGACAACATTTTCTAAGGTACTCATGTGAAGGATACTGCAATAATTTTTATTAATAATGGGATTTTTCTCTTCTGTAGAGAGAGGTTTTCTAGCACTTTTTTTTTTTTTTTTTTTTTTTTTTTCCTGAGGCAGCAGGCTGGGGTTGGAGTAGGGACTATTTTCCATTAGCAAAGTACATGGAGTTTTCAGAAGTTTCATTAACTAGCTTCAGCAGCTCTGAAAGTGTAGATTCAAATGGTAATTAGGCCTGTTATATTGCACTGCAAATCTCACAAAACGTTGCCTCCAATCTGTATGGTAGAGAAATTACTTCCAGATGTAGCATATCTAACTTATAATCAAAGAACCCACCTCAGGTGAACCCGTAGCACTTAGGTCTACTTTGCAGCGTGTTTTAATTGTTTTGTATATTATAAAAATTTGCTGCTAACTAGAGCAATCAACAACTTCTGCATAAGAGACAAATAAATTTGCAACACTGAGATATAGAAATGTACAACATAGATTTCTGTTGGAAAAAATAAGTTATTTATGAAGTTCAACTCTAGGCTGTTTACAAGTACAGCGGATGTTGTCTCAATACCTAAATATTTTCTTTTAATGAGGGACATTTTTGTTAAGAGGAAGTTTATAAGTATATCCAATACAGAGATGTTTGCTCACTAATGCTTATAATTTTCAAATGGTCTGTTCATATGTCTAAGTAGATAATTAATAAAAGATGAATAGCATAATATCAAAAGACATCTGTGTTAGCTGCAGAAATATAATGAAGGCAATTTAGTAAGTTTCAGAACAAAACCCACAAATATTTTCTCAGTTCAAAAGACCCAAATGAATCTTCAATAAGAATCTTCTTAACTCAGTGCAGTGATTTGCACATATGGTACTTTCTACCCACAAACTTCTTAAAATACTCCTTAGGGACATGGATTGTACTACAGGTGTATTTTAAAATGTCATCATAAACAGTAGGATAAACATCTCATCAGCCAAATGGAATAGTGAACAAAAGAGTCCTTAGTTCACAGAATGATTTAAGCATCCTATTTGAAAGGGCACATCTTTGGTTGTGAAAACATGTGAGTCAAGGATAAGTGATCTGTGGCAGGGGTTGCCTGTAATCATGGTGCTGCAAACTATAACTGTCAATTTGTACAAAGGGCCCACTCCCATTTCTGGAAAACTTGGTGAAAGATAAATCCTTTGCTTATTCTTGTAATGGTCTAGACCAATCCAATTGTTTGAAGAGATAATTATTAAAAGAGCCATTAATGGATAAGAAACTGAGTGTTACAAATGTATGTTGGGAATTACTGTTTATTCTGAATTGTAACACAGAAACAGACAACGACACTATGAAATTAAGAGGTAGCGTATTTGAAAGGAGTGAAAGTGAGTACTTTCTCTTGGCACCCAAAATTGGATATACTGTTCAAGAAAACACTGAAGGGAATAAAATGCAAGAGTTAAGAAGAAGCTGTATACACATGCAGATAGCAAAAATTTCTGAGTTATAATTGCTATTGCTAAAATTACTTTCCAGAAGAGGTTTTAAAACATGTTTCAGGGCTCAGACCAATATCTTACTAATAAGTAACCTGATGAAGCTTAATTTATAGGAGCAGATTATTCTTTGGAAGTGTCTAGAATAGCCTTCTGTAAAAACAGTAGATGAAAAATCTACTTACTGCGTCTTACTGTGTATGGGAGCTGTCAAATAAGAACTATTTGTAAACTTGCTCATTGCTTCATACTGACATTTCTCCATCAGAGACATTTTGATAGAGATTTCCAGCTGCAAGAGAAGAGATAACAATATTTGGGAGTTAGTCCAAGTTTAATTCAATTATGACTTTACTAATGTATAACTTTGGGGGTGTGGGTCTTGGGACAGGATGGATACCCTTTGTAGAAATAACTTGAGAAGTTCTGACTCACATTGTTGTCATGAGTCACAGTAGTACTGGCAAAAATAACTAATTCTTTGGTAGTTAACTTCACTAGTTTTATACAAAAGTGATAGAAATATGATAAAACTCATGGAAATAACACTAGAATATAAATAGTGTTTCCATGCAATTGTAATATCCTATGCAATTTAATGGCACAAACTGATTTTTTTTTAAGAAGTTAATCTCAAGCTATTATTTAGAATAAATAAAATATGCTCTGTGGGCCCTTCTACGAATCTATTTATGTTGCCATATTTCCTTCTGGGCACGAAGGGTCCATTGATTTTGTGTAAATGCTTTCAAAATCAAATGTGGGTTTGATTTTTTTTTTTTTTTAACTATTAAATTTTTGGTTTATTTGTTGTTGGTTTTTGATTGTTTCAGGTTATTTTTTTTTTTAATTTCATTTTAAAATTAACCTAATAGTATAATAATTTTATTTTATTTTGTAAATAACTCGGAGAACTAGGCATAGTAATGTAGAGGAGGGAGTGCAATGTAAGCTTTAATAAGATGTAATGTGATGACTGCATTTTCATTAGCTGGTGATGAATTTAAAAACTCCTTAAAGAACATACAGTTACTCAAGAGAAAGAAAAATGTATCTGCAGTGCTGGGAAATCACTCCTGCATAATCAGAGAAAGTTCAATTCATACCCATCCCACCTGCTCATAAGACTGCTAAAATGGCATTAAAATCCCCAGCTCCCTAAGCTTATCATTTACTTTCTCATAAGTCTATAGCTCAGCAGTCTTTATAACAGTGGCTAGAACATGATATTTAAACAAGGTTTATTATGTAAATACAAATCTATATTATAGAAATAAAGCTGGATCTATCTTGAATTGTTTCATATTTTACTATTGAAGAACAAATGATATTAATTTGAGTTTATTTAATGTTAACTATATTTCAGCCCAATTGAAGTGCTATTAAAATCGGATTTGGATGGTAGTAATCAGTGGAATATGTAATTGATCATCAAAGAATCAAAATAAATTGTTCAACTAGTGCTAGAAAGGGAGCTGGAAAGAGCATCAGAATAGTGAATGAGGCACATCAGACATAAATGAGAAATTAACAAAGGTAATGAATATAATTTCTTTTCCAATCTAGCTATAAAAGAAATAATTCCAAACAGAATTTCTTAATTAGACTTGTATTTTCCCTGCAGGCCAAAATACTTGAGGGCTGAGGAAGTATCCAGCTGGATGGTCTCTGTGGCCTCGGATCAGCCTCTTTGGTTTTAATTTTTGCTTAAAGTTTTTTTTTTTTTTTTTTTTTTTTTTTTTTTTTTTTTTGTTTTGTTTTGTTTTGTTTTGTTTTGTTTTAAAAAAAAGTTAAAACTTTCAGACTGAAAAGAAAAACACATAGGTATTTCTCCAGGATGGAGGGTGGAGAAAATATTGATCAACGTCTTTGTTAATGACCTTGATGACAGGAAGGACTGCGCTCTCAAAGAATTTAAATGTTTCAGATCTGCCTTAGGCTGTCAGGTCTCCAGCTTCAGTCCTGACTCTGCCTCCTAGGTGGATCTTGGCCACATGCTGCTGTAATTGCTCTCTGGATGGACCCCTTGGATACATGCTTTAGTCTTGTCACCTGACCTATTTCCAACTCCATCTCCTGGGTCTGGAGCCTATGGCTGGGACTGGTACCTGGTTCACCTCCTTGTATGTCTGGGGCTGTTGAAGGATCCAGCCCTGGTTTCTGCCCCCATGTGTGGAAACTACAGGAAAATACAACTTCCAGCTCACCCACCCTCTGGGAGAAGTTGGCCCTTACTGCACACTGATGAAACAAAAAGAAAACACTAGAAAGCAAATTTAAGAAGATGTTAACAGTCACTTATACAAAACATAAAATACTGACGAAGAAAGCAGAGGGAAACAAGACCTACTTTCCTTTAGACTGTGCATCATAATAAACTATATTTTGATGGCTTCTCATTGCTGCAGAAGACAGGTGTGCAGTCCTGGAAGAGATGTACCATACAGTTTGGATTTCCCTCCGTTGGATCTCTTACTACTGAATTCAAGAGAATTGCTAGATACAAAAATAATTTTCTCGAACTGGTATCTCCCTAGTATATTGGTATTCTCCTTAACGGCATGTCACAAAAGAGTAGCAAGTAGAACAGGAGATAACTCTGAATAACTTGAAAAATAAATGTGTGAAACTCTGCAGCTTTTTATCTTCTTTTCTCAAAATATGGTCTTTGTAGCATCTTTGACAATATCCTATTATCCTATCCAACTATTTCTTTTATAATGTTCCAGCTATAATAGAGGAGAAAATATAGAATAACAGTTATACCTAAGGCTAGTGAAGTTTACATGAGGAAAGAAAATAGAAATGAGTTTATAAGTATGGTCATTGTTCTTAATGTCGCCTATCAGATGTTGCTCTTTCTGGCAGAAAAAAAAATCCATCTTTCAATTCCAGGCTGATGTAAGAGGAAAAACAATACATGTGATTTTCCAACTAAGGAAACTTTCTGATCTGTAAAATGTAACACAGGTTTCCATAAATGAAGATAAAAATCCCTTTTACTGAATTTCAAAAAAGTATCTTCTTGGAGTTGTTTCAAAACGTTTATGTCACAATAAACAAAAGTGAATGGTTTTGGATTTCTGCTTGTTTGTTTTTCTTTGTTTTTATAAGCAAAGGGCCAATCAATCCAATGAATACATGTTCGTTCCCTATTCCTAGTTTTCTTCTTCCTCTTCAACATCCAAATGCATCCAATGTCTTTCACCGTGGTAAGTATATTACCTTTAATCTTTCCATATTGCTCTAAGATTCTCTCTACTTGCTCAACCTCTGCTCTTGTCTTTTTAAAAGCATGCACAATTTTCCCTGCGTCCTCACATTTTTTCAACTCAGCCCTCCCTGAAACTTTTCTTCTTTCATCTGTGACCCAGCTGAACCACCTACTTGTTTCTTCAATCTCTGTCCATGTTTGATCTGCCAGGAGTACATCAGCAAAGTTTGTAGTCTGGCTGGTTGACTCACATTAGTTTTTATTTGGATCCTCTCTTTCTCTGCATGTAGGCATCTAGACAAAAAGGATAAAGATCGGCTATAGCTATCTACTTTCCCAGAAGTGAAAAGAACTGAACGATTTTGAGATATCTAGATATTGACATATACAGCTGAAAATGGCCAAAATTGCTTTAAAATGTTACGAGGGAAAGAAGTATTACTGGTGGCCAATGAAAAAAAAACTGTTTATATAAGCATAATTTCTTCAGGAAGCCAGGCTAAAAATGGCCATTGAATGGGGACAGTATCTGGCCATTTAAATTTATTACGTTCAACCATTTAGTAACTTAAAGTTGTGGAGACAGAGGTTACTGTGAAGGGTTACTAATCCTTGGGCTATAGATTTGCAATGTTCAGCCAGGCAATTAGAGCAGCTACCAGGAAGAGTAAAACTTTCATGCTCAGATATGAAACAGATTTACTAAAAATTGATTAACGTCATATCCTTGCTGTATTAAAGATAGATAACAAGCTTCTGGCTGCACTGTTTAAAATCTTACCAAAGAACATTCTTGCTGTCTGCAGAGCCACTATATTTCGTGTGGCATTAAACAAACAAACAAATACTGTTCTGGTCCATAGGCTAACGTGACAGATGCCTGCAAAGTCATTCATTATGAGGCCAGATTTTCCATGGATATTAAACACTGAATATTATTTTGTTGCTAATTTGGCATAAAACAGTGATGTGATGCAGATCTTTTTTCTATTGAATGAAGAAGTACAGTTCAGTCTATGCAACATCTTAGCTGAGTATCTAATATGGGATCTTACGTAGGTCATAGCAGAGACAAGTATATGAAAGCTACTACACTAGTGAGATAGATAAAAATAGATTGAAAAAAAAGGGGAAAAAATGATAGATTGAGAGAAAATTCAGTTGATCATTTCCTGTGGCAATATTTATGTAAAGTGTTGATAGATCTCAGACCTCTTAGTTTAGTAACTCATTGTGAGCAAGGAAAGCATGACACAAATATAATTCTTCTAAGCAAATAATCTGGATTTTTTCAGTGACGTATCTAAATGACTACAGCTTTTTATTTGGAAAATGTATTGACATTAGAACTGAACTCAGCCAGAGATGCTTCTTGGAAGTAAGCTGAAAAGCAAACAGCCCACAGGTAGTGAGTAGATTAGCCGGACCTCCGTCACAAGTCTCTCAGGTGGAGAAGTTTTCAGTGAGTACCAGAGCACGTGTACATTACGTTTTGTCCGTTAAATAAGAAAATCACTGTGAAATCAGAACTAAAAGTCCAAATGAGCACATTACACTTTGACCAAACAGTGGCAGTTGATTTTATGTAAACTCAGTGTACAAATAAAATCCATCTGTTTTCTCCAACGAGAAGTCTAAATAAAAGGGATGCATTTTAGGAAGAATCATAAAACTTTGCCACAAATTTTGATGGAATGTAGATAAATGTAATATGTAATAAAAAATATTTTAAAATGGTAAAAATGTCTGTATCTTTTTTTTCGTCTACATGAGAAAAACACATTTACATACCTAGATAAAATTATGACAACCTTATCAGATAGGTGTCAAGCTCAGCAAAATGTGGACGGTAATTTCAGCATGATCATGCTTCTTAACAGGGCTTATACTCTTAACGATTATTTTAGGATTACAAAGAGTGATTAGGAGCCTAGAGCATCTCCCATACAAAGAGAAGCTGAGGACCTGATAGTGAGAGAGCACTGGAACAAGGTGATCGAAGAGGTCATGGAGTCTCCTTCTCTGGAGGCACTCAAAACCTGCCTGGATGCTTTCCTATGTAACATACAGGAAGCAAATTAAGAAGGGGTTTATGTCATATTTTATGCATCACTAAAGAACCCACCCAACATAAATGACCAGCAGAATCACTTTACCTCTGAGTTAATATTATTAAGGCTAATTAATTTTAGAATAAACGTCAGGTTTTTTTGTTTGTTTGTTTGTTTTTTAATCAAGCAGCAATGTTCAGGACTCCTGAAAAACCAGTTTTGATGTTGAGGATGGTGGTCTTAAGTCTGTGACAAAAAAAGATTGGGCAACTTAAATTGTCTCATCTTATGACTTACCCAAATTTACAGAAAAAAAAAAAAAAGTGAGGCCTTTTTATTCTTCGATCAGCAGATTATTTGCTGCCACAAAGAAACAGACCTGATTTAAACTTAGCCCTTGTTTTACCCAAGTTAATATTTTCATTTAAGTAAGATTCTTCCCACAGAAAAGCTTGTTTCATGAATCTGCCTGTTTAATGATAGGAATCTGCCGTGCATTCAGCTAACAAAATGAAATATTTTGCAAAATGACATCAAGGAAGTCCTCAAGTGAGTTAGAGGGTGGATTGCATAATACGAATCTGAGATCAAGGGCCTAAGCTGTAATGGTTCTTTTCTAAGGGCGTATTTATGCTGCATCTGTGCAAAGCAGTAGAGAATGTTATTCTAGAGTAGACGGCTATGATGCAGGAGAGGATCCTCGCTGATGAATCAGAGGATGTTTTACACGTAATACAGAACCTTGCAGTTGCATGAAATAAGTTTCCACAGGGAGATGGAAGTATAAGGAAATAGGAACTGCACATACAAGACGAGCAGATATCTCAGTGCAGATAACTTCAGCTAACACTCAGACCTACAGGGTTTTGTTTTGTTTTGTTTTTTAAAAGTGCTTCAATGCAAACAGCAGCACAAAAAAAAAAAAAAAAAAAAAAAAAAAAAAACCCTGCAGTAACTATCCTTTGTGCATAAATGCAAATACTTCCAGAGTAATACACACATCAAGCAAACAGGCTCAGATTTTACATCATTTTAGTATGTTAGAATATAAAATGGCCAAGAGCTAATACATGCTCCATTCCAAGATTCTGCCACAAGAACAGTTATATCCATGCTTTAGGCAATTCTCTTCAGCTATCACTGCAATAAGAAGTTAGCATTCTCAAAACTTGCCCACCTTTACAAGTACTTCAAGCATTTCACTCTCTTATACTAATGATGTGTTTGCTTAAATTTTTGTGGCCTAAATTTGTATACTAATGCAATGAAATATTTTCTTTGATCTGAAATAACTTTAAGGAAGACTTCCAATAACACTGTTGACACAGATAGAAAAAGTGGCTTTTTACCATTTGCGAAGATCATTCACCAAGACTGTGGCATCCCTCCTCACAAAGGTCAGCAAAAATCCACATTTGCACCACATTATCATAATCTGCAGCTTTAACGAGCTATTTCCAAGAAGTTTTGAGTGAAAGTTATAAAGTGAAAACTTATCCTAGAGAGGAGTGCAAGTCTATCAAAAACATTTTCCTGAGCAGAAAGAAAACAGTGGGGCACAACAAGAACCAGAACAACAAGTGAGGATGGTGGGGCTCAGAAGACTTTCGGAAGTGAGTTGGAAAGAGGACAACACAGAGGAATCAGCCTCATAACAGCTAACAGAGACCTACTTTTGCTGGGACAGGAGGTGCTAGGACACAAGGAAGCTAGCTTCTCGGCTTATTGCTGCTCTCACTATACCCCCAGGAGGCATATTTGATGATGCCTATCAGTCTGAGGAGATCCTTATACTTTCTACTTTGTAGTGGAAGTGTCACAGAACATTTATGAAGTAGGGACACTTGACGTTTATAGACCTTGAGCACGGAGCTCCTTGCTTGCATAAACGTATTCATTCCTAACCCCTTTCTGAACAAAAAGCAGGCACTGAATCATTCTCATCCAAATGTCACTGAACTTCTCCTGGTTTAGGCTGCTGGCAGTTCAGCTCTCAGAGCCAGTGTCCAGAGACATGGTTATAATAAATTTGATGGAAATAACATTGCCGCTTGATTGACACAGACAGTGACAGCAGGTATCAAGCTCAAGGTCCATATGACTGCTTAGTGAGAGCTCAAATCCTCAAAAGCTAAATACTACCAGATTAAAGAAAAGATCCTGTGCTTTTGACTGCTCTCAATGTTCATTTCTATTAAGTCTGTATTTTCTTTTTTAAAACAATTTATTGCTAGGGCTAAATACTAAATTCAGTCTCCTGCTGACAGATTCTGTCTAGCTACATTGAGTTTGTGGGGAAAAAAAAAATAACATGGAAAGACATGGACGTTTCAGCTGTATCTGTAGCACATCACCAATTTTATTTTGGGTAAAGCAATGGTTAAACTTTTGTGAGTAGTAAACTGTCACTAATGCTTCTGGGTACTACAGTAAGTTCTGATACTCTATATAATGATGCCAATTTGCAGAATTACATCCTCTGTAAACCAATACAAGTTAAAAAAAATCTCAGCGCTAGCCAGGAAGATCAGTGTCTTTAGCATAAAAATATCATTAGCTTTTTTTTTTGTTGTATTAATAACCCACAGTATGTAAAGCAATCACTCAGTTTTGGTGCAGTAGAACTGAAATAGTCCCATAAATCAGAACCAAATTACACATATTTAGAATAAAAGTTGTTCTGTTTATCAAGTAGCTTGATAACTTGCTTCTTATGCCAATGTTTAGACGCTTCTCAGGGAATTTTGTGGGAATCAATAAACTAAGATGACGTGTGCATGACATCTATGAATCCAAATACCAGACTGATCTCTAGACAGCCAGCCATAAGCTCTGTGTAAGAGAGGTGTGACATGATCTGACAAATTTGGCCAGACTTCAGAGGTTTAAACAGCACTACTGGCTTTCCAGCACTACTGTAATGTTTGACTTGGTGAGTTGACAACTTACCTTTTGAACATCCATTGTTCATAACACTTCTCCTAAATTATAAGATTTTGGGGACAGGAATCTTCTGTTAATTCTGCATTTACACAGCAGCGAGCTGTAAATGAAGAAGAGCTTGTAGATAAACTAATTCATTAAGTGATAACCTCATAAATCTTGTCCCTGTTAAAACTCATGCAAGGCTTTCCAGTTCTGTCATTTGTTTTTAATCCCCAATTATGGCTACACATGTCAAATGAATAAAAGATTTCTCACTTGTATAACAGAATCCTATGCAGCTGTGACAATTTTTTTGTCAACCTACAACACGGACATCTACATCTGAGCCTTCTGTCCCGAAGTACTTTGAAAATCATTAGAGAAATATATACATTTCTAAGATATCTTAAGCAGATATCTAAAAAAAGTTAGCTTCCCTAAAAAGGTATTTCTTCTCAATGATAGGATAAAGGTATAATGAAGCAAATATCTCAGACACATGCATCTGAATTTTGAATATCTAATGTTAAAGGAAAAGCTCACTCAGTTTGCCTTAGACCTTTATTTGCAAAGTAGTTGCTTCATGACTTGCTTTAAAAATGTTTGCTTATTTAAGCTTAGAGCTCTGCATTTGTCCTTACTGAATTGCATCCAATTTATTTAAATTATTTCCCTAATTTGCCAAGATCTTTTAAAGTCTGTCCTCACATATATTTACAGACCGTCATAGCTTGATGTCATTGGAAATTTAATAAGCACACTACACTATTTAATCATTGACTACCTACCCAATGATTCAAGTCACTAATGAGAACATGATGAGAACCGGGCGCAAGACTGATCTCGGCAGAACACTACTCAATACATAATGCTACCCAACAAAGAACTGTTAATGACTAAGCATGGTTTCCTAATCATTTGTGCAACTGTTCAACAATTCTGTGAATTATTACTTATAAGCAAAGGTCACATAAAATGGTTCAAAGCCAATTGTGGAATCTAAATATTATCCTATACATTCAGTACTTCTTAACAGCAAGGAAGAAAACTTAGAAGATTTGTTTCTGACAAATCTATATTGGTTTTTGTTCATTATATAGCAATTTTTCTGAATATTTTTTTAATGAAAATGTATATTTTCATTTTTTAATTGCCAAAATTAAAATTAAGATAGTTGCTCCATAATCCCCAGTCCACCTGCCACCTCCCTTAAAAATATGCATTCTATTTGCCCTTTTTCTTTCACGATCTTACTCCAGATTGAGTAGCACTCTCTATTTGAGCAGCCTTCTAGATTGTTTTTATGCAAACATTGAGAAGAAAAAGGAACTACTTGTACATCCTCAGATCTTTCCCTGATGGAGAACCATACAGCACAAAAATAAAAAGCAGTATCCTCAGTCTCACATAGACATTTCAAGGTAAGCCTGTTCTTTGATAATTGGAAGATGAATTTTATGAGTTTCAGAAAACTTTAAAGAGTTTAATTCAGTAGTGTCTACTTAGTTCTTCTAACCTGTGTTTTTGTCCCTTTATCAGCCTACTCTAAAACATACATTCACTATGCCAAGGAAGAATTTCAATTTTATAATGTCTGATGAACTCCTCTTTTACTGATGTTAAACACTGTAAATCTTGTACTTTCTCTTCATTATACTATTCAGTTGAATGCTTATGGCAGTGTATTGGTGTTTTAATACCTCACATTTTTCCATTTGTCACTCTAAAGAAATATGTTTATATATACAGAGCAATTGATTTTTATTCACCTTGGAAAGGCAGCATAAACTGAGTGAAAGTTCACATGGAGATCAACCTACAGTAGGATTTATAGAGAATGCAAAGATCCTTTTTCAACAAAAAGAAATTTAAATCAGTCCATTCCCTTATAAACTAAGGAAATGTTATAATTTATGGTATTTATAATGCAGATATCACCTTACTATTCATGGGATGCTGATATTTTAATAATGAAACAAAGAAAAATTTCTACTCTCATCTCTGAAAAATTCTCTAAGGGAGGTGGTGTTTATGATAATTCGGTCTGTGATAAAAGTACTCGAAACCATAATGAAATGACTGTTCATAGAACAGGTTCAAAGAGTTTTGAAGAGTTTTAATTCTGTCATATTCTTAAAAAATATGGCCATGCCTACAGATCTCAACAGCGGTGAACACTGACTTGGAAAACATTTATGTGGAACTCACACAGCCAAGGGTCATGGGCTGGACTACATGCCATGTGAGGAGAAGCTAAGGAAACTGGAGTTACTCAGCCTGGAAAAGTCTGAGATGGGACATTATTGTTGTCTACAATTGACTAAACAGAAGAAACAGGGATATCAGAACCATAACATTACCAGATGCACAACAGGCATCAAATACCATGAGAGTTGTACTGTGATTCAAAATGAAGATGAACTCTTAGATTTTAAACACTTACAGAAAATTAATTTTTCATAGATGTCAAGTTTTTGTCGAGGCAAAAACAGTACTGTATTTTAAATAATTGTCTTTTATTTTTGATTACATATTTTGTCTAATCATTTGAAAGTATTCTACATTTACATTTGTATTTATTTTCCCACATGAATTTTGACTTAAGCAGATTAATATTGAACATTTTCAAGTAGTATATAGTAACTTCAGTTTACAAGAAACATTGGTTAAATGTTGAATCTTTTTTTCCTGAATATAATGAAAAAAGCAAGCTACAATTTAAATAACTACATTTGAAGAAGAGAGGAAATCATACAGGAATAACAGGAAATTCTGCACTGATCTTTTTAAAATACTAAGTAATATCCCTTACAACTTGAAATCTAGCTTATAATGAATGAAATTAGTTCATATTATTCATCACTGGAATTTCAAGAGAGATACTTCTCCTTTAGTATCACTATTCTATTTTTGGGAAAAATAATTTGACATTCATGTCAAAAAGTGAATATGGAACAATTTGACAGATCTCTCTGGGAAGATGAAAGAAGCTCTATTACATGAAGAAAACAGAGACAAGGCAAAGAACAGAATTTCTGAGCAGAGGAAAAAAACAGGTGTTAATTACCCTGCAATTTCTTAGTACTATGCTTCAGCTTGCATCAGAAAAGTAAAGCTATGTACTGATCCACGCAATTCGTTAAGTCAAGTGGAGTTTTTCCTCCAAGATCTGATTAGCTTAATGAGCATGTAATTTCATTCACAGTTCCATCTACCTAATAAAGGGCAAATGCATGATTGAACATCCAGTGTTTAGAATAGAATCATGTTAAGTAGCAAAATTTTGTAATTTTTTTTTAATCATCTTTCATGCAAGGGGCACATGTGAAGGATGATCAGGCAGTTCAGGATAGCTCTTGGGGTTCTCTTTTACTAATTGCTGTTTAAATGTTCTTGATGAATTAATCTCATTCAGTTTTAAGTTCATGCGTCCCTTTAATTTTGAAAGCAACACCTCACACAAATAGCATCTCCTACAGAAAGTAGTTTCAAGAAGTTTGGAAGAAGTCAGTGTCTGCAATGAGTCACAGAGCTGCATAGGAAGAAAGTATGCTGGTCTTAAAGTAATTACATCATAGAGTTCATATCCCACTCAATACTGGATATGGTGGAGATGCTGATATGAGGGCCAGGTAACTGAAGCCCATAAAAAATAGGTATGAGAGTAGGCAGTGAAGACATTCTGTAGTGAGAAAAACTAACTAGAATGAACAGTTCAAGAAGCATGTTTCTGCCCAGGTTCTGAGAGGCAGACAGACGACATCCAGGAGAGTTTCCAAGAGAACAGCATAGAGGCACAGGAGTAGCAGATGTGATTCAACGTGTCTGCTGCCAGAAAGGTACTATTTAGCTCTGACTACAAAATCAATTCCTTCATTAGCAACCTTACCAGAATTTTGGTCCTTCTCTCTTGAAGACAAATGCACCAGTCACCAGTCCAGCAGTCCCTGTGAACAGAGCAAAAAGACCACATATGTGAGAGTTTGGCAGAAAAAAGAAAAAAAAAAAGAAGGAAAAATATAATAGCTAATTTTAGTTTGATCAGTGTTGCCTTGGTTATAGCCAAATAAATACAAGGAAAGATGGCTGGGTGTAACAGAGCACCACTCAGCAGCGCCTCTGGCCAGAGACTGTTCCAAACGCATAGATTTACAGAACTTTTAGCAGCTCATTCCAACGATCTTCTAACCAAGATTAATCTCTGTAATGAATACCTAGAGAAGAAAAAACCTTCATTACTATTCCTATTTTTACATCACATTTCATTCTAAGCACACATTATGTTCATTACATGTACATTATGTTCAAAAAAATCATCCTAATAAGAAATCCATACGAATTTTAAAGAGACAGAAGGAAAGTATATGAAAATAATGACTTAACCACATATAGTTAAGAGAACAAATGCTGTTCTAAACTAAAATAGATTATTAATCACAGCATAATAGAAACACTCATTTTCAAATGAAGCATTACTCACAATACAATGTATAATAGATTTTAAAAAACAAATCTTTTTAAATAAAAGTTCACTTTTAACAATCAAAGAAACTGACAGATACCTACTTTACAACCTTGGGTGTAGTGAAATAGGGTCCCAACAGAAGGCTGTGTAAAATATTGCATCTGTAACTAGGCCAAAGACTGACTCTCTAACTGGAAATGAGCTAAGTTGTGCTACCGAAAATTTCTTGGAAAAACATTTTAGATCTTTTCATTTCAAAAAACAGTTAAGCTTAGATTTTGAGAAATAAAATATTGCTTGAATTATGGGCTATTTTAAGTGGAAAAAAGGCTAGAATAAAAAATCTGCATAATACAAATAATTGTCCTCTAGCTGAATTAAAAAAAAAAAAAAAAAAAAAAAAAAAAGCAGAGATTAAGAATTTGGGTGCCTAGAGAGCAGGAAAAAGGAAAAAAACAACTGCATATTCCCTGCTGTACTCACTGTCACACACACACACACAAAAAATAGAAGGGGAAACAAATTAACATGGACAGAGATACCTTCCAGATGCCAAATGAAGTCCCACTCTGTAGAGAGTTTCTTCCCTCTAATTTTAGCATGTGAAAGTTTAGCACTAGAGCAAGTCATTCATACTACCTCTATTGAGAATGAAAAGAGACAGACATATTGAAAAGATAATTTATCCTATTTGACTTCGATCCTATTATGAGAAGAATTTGCTCTCCAAGGATTTTTTTTTGCTGTTGTTCAATGGGATTGACTAGATGAATAGCTTAAACTGTAAGTAAATGAATGTCTCAAGTTACATGTCTGATTTTTATATAAAGTCAGATAAAAGATGCCCCACTCACATTTGAAATAACAGGATAAATTGAGATATTTTTTGTTTAGGAAAAAACAAGTGAAATAAAAAAAGAAACAAACACTGTTGTTATAATTCGTAACTATTTCCTGATTAGTAATTTCTGTTTTATCAAGAGATTCCTTTTAAAATATAAAAAGAGAGATATCTGAACTTTGAAAACTGAAAGCTGTCTTCAAAAAAAAAAAAAATAAAATAAAATAAAAATCAGTCATTAACAAAAGGATTAACTGGATATTTCATTAACCTAATCACATTTTTTATATAGTCCTGAAAAATATGATGGAACTAATATAACTAACTGTTATGTGCAGATTTGACTTGAAGAATGAACTCTGTAAAAGCATAATAAGCATTTATTATTTAGTTACTTTGGATAGGCTGAAGATATACACAAGCAAATGTCTCTTATCACACCACACAGGATATTACCAGCAGAAGCTAATGCTATAGCTGACTGAGCTCTCCATTCAAATTAAGCATTACAGATTCGTGACAAGCTCATTCATGATTTGCACATGGGAACAAAAATATGTTCAACAACTTGGCATAAGAATAAAACTCTGTTTTAGAGTTCTGTGATAATGACCTACAGATATTTTATAAAGATTTACAGACTGGATTTAAACAGATTTCATTTGAAATAAGACCTGATACCACATTTAATACTATCCAAATATCTCACATGCTTCTTAATTCTTTTTTTCCCCTCATTCAGACAATATATTTTGAACTTTTTTTCACACCAAAATTCATCAAATCAAATTAATTATCAAAGTCAGTTTATCTATCTTTTATATGGGAAAGCCTGCTAGTACATGTAGAATGAAAAAAGTAGAGCGGAAAGGATTCTTGAGGAATTTCTTCCTCTCTGTCTCTGTTCTTGATTGCTACCATGTCTGATGAAATGCTTCTGAGTTTTTGAGAATAAAACATCTATGTATGCTCCATGCTCCTTGTTTATATTAGTTGTCACAGTTTGATTCTTAAACTTACATTTTCACTGTCAGTGAAATATTCTGATGTTTCTCTCTTACCTAGAGTATATGGTATCTTTGATGCTCATATTTGCTTGATAAATAAATATATATCAGTATCTACTTACATACTGTCAGAGTTAATGACTAGATTCCCTGGCTAGTACTAGCTTCAACACAGCTCTGCATGGAATACATGGTTACTAAGTTCTCAATAAGCATTACTGGAACATGAGGACAATAGACTCAGCTGACACAGAGAACTTGCCATACAGTTTTCAACATGGAAAAGAATTAGGGAGAGTGCAATACCATTCATTTAATCCCTGTCAAGCTTTATATGCAGTTGTACTTCAAAGTCTTAAAAATTTCTACTAGACTGGGTTTGCAAGCCAGGTATTGCAGAGAGTTGTTACATTCTTTCAAATTTCATGTTTATTTCTATCTTCGTGATTAATTTCTGTAACACATAAGTAAAAAAATAATAATAATAATTAAAAAAAAAAAAAAAATCAGACAATGTTAAGATACAGACTACCAACACAAGACAAATAGATTAGAGCAACTGGACATCACAATTTTACACCAGAGAGAATTACAGTGAATGTTCAGAACATCAGTTCTAAATCACAACTCTATACAAAATCCTATGGCTCAGGATCTGATTCTTTCCCAATTTTAATAGTAGGGCTGTCAAAATGTGGAAGTTACATGCCTCAAATCTAGTCAACTAATGAATAATAAAAAATAAGGGATATAGAAACACATACTTTTGAGATAATTTTAGCTGAAGAAATAAAAATTAATAATAAATATCAGGAGAATGAGAAAAAGTGATTTAATTAGGGTCAGTAATTAAAATGCAAAAGGAGAACTCAAGGTAGATAGATCTTTGCAAGGATCTGTATAGCAGAAGTACTTCCTGTATCATAAAGTTCCGTATAAAATTGCCCCAAATTATATGTAAATAACAAAGGTTTCAAGACAAAGCCTAGCAAAAAACAAGACTAGAAGATATTCAGTCCAGTATTCTCAGAAAAATAAAGCACAACTTCTGAGCAGCTGATGGAGACTTTCAAACAGCATAGGCTGGATCTGGTGCAAGCTGTGTCTGTTGATTAAATGGATTTCAAAAGTATTCATATGAACTAAAAAAAAAACCACATTTTTTTCAGCTTTTGAAACATCTTTACAAACAGTTCATTCCTCTCTTTTAAGCATTCTGAGTGAGAATAGAAACAACTTGTTTGCTCATTTTTTATTTTATTCAGTAGGATTATATCTGTGCTCTTTTGTTTTTTCTCCCACAGATAAAAATATTAATTATTCAAAGAAAAATAAATATAACACATCAGAATTTATTAAAACCATTGTCCTAATAGGACAAAATTTAAATAAATGATTAATTAAAACCAGATATTTGGTGGAAAAAAGTAGAATAGATACAAGTGAGTTGATCAAAGCAAAGCAGAAATTACAGAACTAGTGATTTTGAAGTCCAAGGCTTCTTATCTCCTGGTCACTACTGCACTGAGTCACAATACTCATTTCAGAGAGATTTGGCTAAGTGCCTGTCTTTCCCTTGGAGAAAAAAAGTTTCAAATACCTCATATACACAGTGGTATTACAGAAGCCATTAAATCTGAAGAGGTAAAGTAATAATGCATAGTGTTAAGAATAAATCTAGTATGAAAGTAATTCAGTAATAATTTATAATAGCAATGTACCTCACGCTTGAAATTATTAAGCAGATAAAATTGAAGGAATTGATTAGACCTGCTTATATATTTCATGAATAAAAATGTTTCATGCTCAATCTATGATTCCTGCAAACATCTACTTCTATGAAAAACCTACTTATACTAAAATTTACCAGCCCAATCTCATAGTCATGACTATAGAAAACATTCTCTTCACGTTTAGTTTCTAATCAACACAATTTTGTTACTCCAAACTACTCTCAAACCCTGTGTAATATATCCTCAATTGTTTCACTGGGCAGTTCATAAACTGATGCTACCTAGGCCCCTTTACAGACAATTGTTGTTACCTACTTCACTAGCAAATTCTTTACAAGCAGTCCCTGAAGCCTAGACTACAATTGGGTTTTTAAGGCCCTGGCAAGTGTGATCACAGAACTATGGTTTTGTTTCTTTACTATTTTAGAACAGCATTGTATTTTGGGTAAGTTTACACATTTAAAAACCCATGATAATATACATATACATAAAATAATTCATTGAGAAGTATACAAAATTCTGATTTAATCCACTATTAAGCCTATTCATAAAATTTCTTTTTATTCGTTAATTTAGCTTCCCAAATGCCTGAAGAGTAGACGTATCTTGGCAAAAACAATTTAAGTCAGAACATCTGTAAATTCTGACCCTTACATTAGAAGTCTCACCTTCAACCTGCTTACATTTTAAGTACTATCTTTACCATCTGATCAGTTGAAACAGATGGAAAAAGTTTTGCTTTTTAAGTAAATGGAATACAAAATGGTTTTAACTCTTTCTCTGACAGACCACAGTCACACTGACATATTTGTTTAGATTTCTTCTAGGAAAACTTGTCCTAGTATCAGAGATCAGACTAACCATTTTAATCTTTCTCCATTGAGGCAGTAAGAGCACTGATGTGAAGGCTTTTCCTGGAATTTTCTATCTTCCCCCTCACTTTTCTTCTATTTTTCTTTTCATAAGATACAGAACAATAGGAAGAACTTCTCCTAGTTTTGCTTTCCATAGCTGAGAAATGTTAGAGTAATCTAAAATATCAAGAAGGTAAGTAAAATGAAAAAAAAAATTATAAAATAGTTTTGCAGGAAAACTCCAATGGATTCTTACGTTCATCGTTTTCATTACTTGGAACAAAATAGAAAAAACTTCTTACTCTTAGTAAGAAAGCTCTGGAAATTATCCACTACAATCATCTGTGGGACCATGGTAAGAACTGAAAACATACACGCTCAATTACATTTCACATATTCACTGATCTTTACATGCAATAACCTGAGAGGTGATACAAGTGACCATGTGATCAAGGAGCCAATGAGGGCAACCACCTTGCTGGATTTGTTACTAACAGACCAGGAAAAATTGATTGGGAATGGGAGGAAGAACAAAGTTAAGCTCTTTCAGTAGAGCGCAGTGATGGGACAAGGAGTGAAGGGCACAAACTGAAACACAGGGTCTTCTGCCTAAACATGTGAAAATGAAATCCATACCATGAGGGTGATTAAACAAAAGCTTAGGTTGTTTACAAAGGCTATGAAGTTTCTGTCCTTGGAGATATTCGAACCCAGAACAGATACATACCTGAAAAATCTAGTGTAGGTAACTCTGCTTGAGCAGATGATTGTAGTGGATAATTTCCAGAGCTTTCCCACCTCAGACATTCTGTGATTCTTTTTAAAAATAGTCACTTAATAAAAATAGCTTATTCAAAGAAAATTATTATGGAAACTGACTACGATTATCTCTGTTATTTAAGCATTTACATTGATTAGACAACATTTGACAATTTTCATCAAATTGTCTTCTGTACACCAACCTTTCATTTTTTTCTCTGACAAGATTCGAGTAGTAGCTAAATCCCTGGTTGAAGCCAGACTCCAATGCCCTAGAAGGCAAATTCAGACATGTATGCAGAAAGTATACCACTGGAGACCATTCTCCGTGAGTAATATTCAGGTGAGGCAGAATCTGAGCCTGGCAGATTGCTCAGAAACTGGATTTGATGGGAGAAAGGAGAAACATCTTATCTCTGCTATGAGAAGATCAACCTGAATATGAAACACTAAGCTTTTTTTTCTTTAGTTACTATTTTTAAACATCTGTTATACAAGATACAAGTCATTAAGTGACATCTCGTATGTGCAATGAAGACAATCTCATGCTTTAATCTCCAGCAAACAGTGATGGGTTTATGGCACTACCTTCCAACAAAGGCAACCCCACACAACAGGGCTCAAACCCATTCGGGGCTATTCTATGCAGGAGCACCCAGGACCGTTTTCCTCACTGAGTTGATTCTGCAAAACCTCTGTTATGAGCTGTCTGTAACACTCAGATACCGAACACCAGGGACTGTGTGGTATTTCTCAGCAGAAGTTTAGCTCCACAGTCACCAAAATATCACCCACTCTATTTTAGAAACTTGTGTCTTCTAACCTGTTCCCCTTCTGAAGAAACACCATTTGCTAATGGCAGTCACTAATGTCTCCATGTGGGCTGAGAAGACCTCTTCCTGCCAAGGAGTAATGATGGGTGGAAGACAAAAGCGAAAACAAGCAGTGGTTATCCATATTTCTCAACACAGGAATTTCAAAAATGGAGTTCTGTATTTACCATCCTGGTCTTTGAAAGTTTCCTCTCCCACCTCCTGTCACTTCTGAAACAATTTCAGGCTGCCTACAAGCAGCTCTGTTCCTGGGGAGTAGAATTTCTATTGGTTACATTGTATCACAAATGACACCTCTGTACTTTGCCTACTTTCTTCTCATGCTTTGACAACTTGCCATTTGATTACATTGGAATTTAAGCAGAGCACACACTGCTATGCTTCTTTGCTTTGGAGCACTAGTTCAGAAAAACAAACAGGCATGAAGAAACATTAAGCTGATTTCATTCCAGTTGGGTGACTTTAGATGGTAGCAAGACAACTCTTCCACCAAGATGGCACATGGAATAAACAATGTAACTGTTTTGTTCTTAAGCAGCTGATCTTTCTTATTAGCAGATTTCAAGCAGTTTGAGAAGACTTACTTTCTTCTACAGAAATTAAACTGAAGCATCTAGAAAAACAAAATCCCAAATGGATCACATCTCAGAAAAACAAACTTTTTTTTTTTTTTTTTTTTTTTTTTTTTTTTTTTTTTTTTTTTCAAATTCCAAGGCACAAACATAACTGCAACAAAATGAATGGCAGAGCTATTCCCTATTAGATTCACCTTTGGCTTGATAAAAAGCGTGTTTCTAGTCTCTCCAAAAAGAATGTACCTCTTTCCTGATTAATAAATCATTTCCATTCTTCACAAAATATTCTGTCTTCCCATGTCAGGAGCACAACTTAACAAAGAAGAGCTGATTAAAGCTTGGACATGTAAAACATGAGCAATACACAGCAAATCCTTTCAAAGCTGTATGCTATTATAAAGGATTGATTTCACGTGGAATGGCTGAACATAGAAAAATGAACACTAGAAAATAGGATTTGATTGTTATATTCTAGAAAACTAGGTGTCACAGGCGAACTAGAAAAGAGCAATTTTGTCTAGATAATAAAGTGACATATGAGGAGAGATCAACAAACCATTAGTTACACACAATAGCAACCAACCCAGAAAAGCAGACAAACTGAAGACATTTGGATTTTCCTGGAATTTAACTAATGTAAAGGTCAGAAGCTAACGCAGAGGGGTGAAGGGCATGAGGAAAGACTCCAGAATGGGCATAAAACTAGTGAAAAGTGTTTCTCAGGTTCCTCACACTGAGGACTTGCGGAAGTCTAGCAACACAGTGAGAACAAATGTGTACAGTCTAATTCAGAGATCTTTCATACAACTCCCTTTGCTTTTCCATGAACTACTTGAGTAGTTCGTGCTACCAGTGCTCTGGATTACAGAACCACAGATGCCAACAAGCAGCTCACACTTACTGGATTTTGGTATCATGAAGGAATATTCCAGAGGTGCAAGTGGAATGTACAGAGAGTGGTGATTGAAGCAAGGCTTTTGTAATTGCATGCAGCTTGTTAGCTCATGGAGCTGGAGCCTCACAGGCAAGAAAAAAAATAGAGGAAATGGGACAACAACTAAAGCTATTTGAATTACTTGAATATAAATGGAAGATTAAAAGATAAGAAGAATTAAACAAATGAGGAAAAATGTCATTTTAATTTAACTAATTCTTTGTATGAAACTGGAGATAAAACAAATATCAATTATTCATTGAGAACCACATCCATTGGGTTAGATTTATTTAAATATATATATAAATGAATATGGCTTTTACACATTTAAGATGTTTATTTAATGAAAATGAACCATGTGATGCACTGAGGGATTATTACTTAAAAATAGCAGCACTTTATGATGCAGAAAAAAAGGCGGAATCTTAATTGTTGCTTTCATTTATATTTCATGTGCAGAAACCCCAGCATAAAAAAAATTATAAGAAGCTGACTAACTAACTCAAAGTTACTCAAAGAAGTATGGTTTTCTACTTTTTTTCCTAAAACTTATTCATTTATGCTATTATCTTCAGGTGAGAGCATGAAACTGTAAATTAAAATACAGCACTGCTCTGTCACATTTTGATGTTCAGAGGATTTCATGGCAACTTTTATTTTAGTCTGTTAACTATTAGAAAAATTGTACAAGTGGACCTCCTGTGAAAAAGCAAACTGCTTAGTACTCATCTTAAAAAAAAAAAAAAAAAAAATCATCTGCTCCTGCTGTGACTTACAGATGGGCACAGCTCTGTAGCTTTGCAATTTAATCTTTCCCAGAGCCTTTCAGGGAATTATGCAAAGGATGGCCATGTGAGCTGGTATGGCCACATCTGCACCTGGTCTTAAGAAGGCTCCTTGCAGAAATAAAAATATAGCTCAATATAGCTTTAGTAAAAGTCTTTCTACCACATCCCAAACAAAGCTGCTGTACCCAATGAAAATTTTTCTATTCCAAACCCAAATGAAATAATTATTATATGGGAATGTCAGCTAATGAGATTTCCCCCTCCCCCAGCTTTGATCATTTCTAATGGAATTATTCATTCAACATACATGCTATGTATGTAATACATTAAGTTTATTTATGAATTGGCAATTATGCAGTAATGAACACACAAAGAATGCTTAACATACAGTGTCCACCAATGATGCAGGGATTATGTTCTTTGTATATGGCATATGGTGAATTTGTATAGAAACTTAAAGCATTTAGAACAGACTAATGAACTGCATTTGCATTTCATTATTTTTAATAGTAGATATTTTATAAAAACATCATCATCTAAAACTCATCCAAAACATTTTTCTCCTATTTTGTGTGGTGTGCTTAAATTAGGAGATCAACTTAAATCATAGCAAAAAGTCATGCTCAAACACATACCCTGCAAAATAAAAAGAAAAGTGACAAGCCTCCCCCTGCACATTGTCACAAGTTTTTCCTTGATCTTGTTGGTGCTCACAACAGAAAATCTCAACCAAACTGTTTTTCTGTGCACTCACTGGGCTGTGATATCCACAGATCACATTAAAAGTAGAATTCCTACTTTCATAACAACTGCCACAATGGTGTGCATGTCTGCTGCCTGTAATGAGTACAGTAACATGCACCCAGGGTTGCAGGAGTAAAATCTGCAAGAAGCAAAGATATTAGTAGTTTATGGTTCAAGAATAGTTGATCTTAGACTTCTCATGGCTAAAAACCTCTGACGTCACTGGGCAAAAGGAAACAAGGTAAAAAAGCAGCTACATATAGAACTAACATTTATGCTTGACTAGAGGCAGTGAGAAAATAATAAAATTGGTTAGCTGATGAGACACCCTACAGGAATTTTTTCACAAAAACAGGAAAACACTGTTAAACTGACATTTACTCAGCAAGCCACCAACCAGAAGTGCTCGGGGCACCCCCTACACTGAAGCAAAATGCCAGAGCTGTATGATGATTAGACTTTGATAGATCCCACTGACGTCCCAAAGGCCCTTCTGTTTCTATTTTTTATTTCTTTCATCTGATCTTCATCCATAGTTTGACAAACTATTTTTAAGTGCCCATTTTCCTTGTGATCTGTATATTCCAGGCTCACAAAACAAATTAACTCAATATCTTAACCTGATCACTGACGCAGTTACTTGCTGTTTACCTGGCACCATAATCTGAAATCCAGTCAGTTTAGGAACCTAGAAGTAGTGACAAAATCTAATTACTTTAAAAATATGGACAAACATAATCCTACAGCCAAGATCACCCACAATTCATATGCTTTTAAGTCACATTATACTATTATCTTCAGTTTTTTTACTCTCTGAATTATGCTCCACAAAGTAAAAGATATATAAAAATAATAACCATAAAGTTTTTGTGTGGAAGAATTCTGCGTTGCTCAGAAAAGAGCTCAGAAAAAAAATCCCACTGAATGGCCCTCAACAGCAAAGGCAGACAGCACACGTGCAAAAGGTAGGTGATCACCATCACAATCATAAAGATGGTGGGGGGAAATAGGAAAATGGGAGAAAATTTCTCAAAACCAAAATTAATGTAGGGGTATTCCAAATCAGCACAAATATAATCAGCCGATTACACAATTTTTTCATCATTAAAGAGCAGAAAATACTAGTGAACAAGGTTAATTTATCTGCACATGCAGAATTCAGCTGCTCAGGCACAAATTTAGTGCCTTTTCAGCCACTTCACCATACCCAACTAGAGCAGAGTAGGTACAACAAGCACTTCTGATCTCATCAGTATTCAGAATCCTGTTTTGCCTGTTAGTCAGAGAAGAAGTTAGAAAGGGGTACAGGAACTCAGTTTGAGACAAATAAATGAAAGCTTCTCTATAGATTTTGTTACAATATAGGTCTGCTACCTACTAAGGCTAACATAGACTTAACTGACTAACTTAAAATATTACATTATATTTTAATATAATATTATTAATATAATTATAATATAAATAATATTATTAAATAATAATAATAATATTAAAAAACAACTAATGTTGATCTGTAGCGTGAATTCATCTTCTTTTGTGTATTTACATTTTCCAACAGAAATTTTGCATCTTCAGAATCAAAATAATTCCTTAATAATTCCAGTTTTTTATCCATCTCTGAATATTGAAAATGAGCAATAATGCTATAATGTGATGGAAAGTACTGTGATAACATCAGGGTGGTGAGGTCTTTGGCTACAACAAATGAGAACAATCCCAAACACAGCAGCCACAGATACAGAAATGAAGGAAAAGAGCTTCTTACCCCTGGAAGGCCCCCACTACAGGAGGCAAGAATCTCCAGCAAGATACCCTTATCTCCACTGCCAGCTCTTGGATAAGGTCTAGGAAGGGGTGGATCCTGACTCCACCTGTTCTGGTCACTCAGATGCACTGCATGCACCTGAGCTCCCCTGGGTTGGCCCTGCCTTCCCAATAGGTGCTCAATCACTACTTCAAGCTTCGACTTAGCATTTCCTCTGCACAGATAATTAGCCTTTTTTAGTATCTTGCTTAAGCTGGATGAAAACAAGTACCTTGTTTTCTACCTGTCATGTTTGTGCTACATAATAAAGCTTTAATAAGATAAATACTCAGATACTATGGTGATAGACATAGTGCAAAGAGATGAATATATCAGATGATTTGGTAAATTTCATTTTTTGAACCTCAGCAAAATTGAAAGGCATGAAGGGGCGAAGAGAATTT